TGTACTGCTTTTCAAGATGGTGCATCTCAGTACCTCTAACAAACTAGCAAATGTGCTTTCTTCCATCAAATATTTGCAGGCAGCAACTTCATATTGTCATGCTGCTGATTGCATGATGAGTTTGACGTTTCGCGTACCTTCAAAATGCCCCACCACTTATCATCACAGGAAATTATGCTACAGTCTTCCTTGTTTTTTAATCGTTGACTCAGTCCGCTTTAATGAAAAAGATTCACTAGTGACAGCAACGTTATTGGCCTTATTTTCTTCGAATACGAGATTACCAGTTTACAAGTAGAGCCCACCTACCGCATTACTCAATTCGCAGCATCACAATGCTTATGCGTAGGACTACTCACAAACCGGCTTAGAATACCGACATTGAATGATAGTCGTGTCCCGTATTTATCGCCAAGTACATCAACGCAACAATCGATTTGTAATAGCCAAATGCAGTATCTCCCTTCGTCATTTTCATTCTTAATCCTGTCATGTATTGTACTTTACTTCCATTTAACTAAGCTGCCAAATGATGTGCTTTACTGGAAAGTAATCGTCTAGGACCGTGAGACAATATTTTTCTGATGTGTACAATATTTTATTATTAAGATCAGCTCAAATTACCAAGCAACGCTGTATTTATTACCGCCCTATCTTCCACGCTTCCTACCAACATTCACTAAATGTTCTGACTTTTGCTGTAACGAGGTAGTCGCTCGCAGCACGTCATCGACGTACAGCATACGATGGGCCACTAGTCCAGTTTTTTATTGACATACATGCACAACTTGATTTGTTGTTTAAAAATTCTCGAGATGTTACCATGCGTTACTTCTTTCGTTCCATACAGATCCGGACTGATGTAACTTCAAAAGTCTCGGTCATAGTGATCATTTCACCTTTGCACATATTATATAAATGATTTGGACATACTGCTGGATTTTTAGATCAGTATTTATACAGGATAATTCGACATCTCCTCAAATATGTCAGTCTGAAGTTGGTGTCCAGTGATTTGTCAGCACTCAGAATGTTATAATTCGTAATATAGGTGAATAGGAGGTCAAGACATCTTTACGGCTATCGCGGGTTTCTTTGCCGCAAAGCTAGGTCAAAGTATGGTGACATATCCATCAAAATCAGTTTCAACCAATAAAGAAATTGTGTCTTTACCGATCTCAATACATGGATGACGAGATACTTTATACACACTAATAATTTTCCTGGACACACTGTGATCGGCTTGACATTAGTCTTCATTTTTAACGACTAACATTAATTACGTGAAGGCCGACATTTCGACTGTTCCCTATCCAACGGCCTCATCATTTTCGCTACTTTATTCAGCCCTTCACCTTTGTTTTTTAACGTGGTATCTTCTTCTATTCATGCTGCTGCGCCATGGAGCTGCGATGAAGTTCTACCATCCGGGACCCTCAGTGGTCAGAAGAAGCAATTTTCTTACATTACTATGTGTACGAATCAATTTTACGCATAGTGCGTATTTCATCTCTCACTTTATCAGGACGATAAACGGTTGCGTACCTCAGCAAGAACATGTTTCCCCTGCGTCAGAATTGTGCTTCATTTAGCGTCGAGCAATTCCAGAATTTTCGGACATAGTCACCTCGCGAACTGAAGGTGCACACGACAAGAGCATCAAAAGTTGGCTCAACAACGCAAGCGGCACACTTCTCGACGTCTACGAAATAATTTGAAGAGGTGTTAAATGCGTCCACAAGATGATTACTGAGACTTTGGCAAAGGAGAGAGCCGGGGGCTTATCAACCTGCCCGGTCATCTTTTCTCGAAGCTGCATTGCAACATCTCAAGACACACGCTTGTTCTACAAAAGGAACAATCATTTCTTGTAGTCGAATACGCAAATATAATAGCCTGTACTGGTTACTATACCATAATCCATGCAATTTATTACGCACACACGATCCACATCCATACAAACAAGGGGATCGAAGTTAGGGACGTTACGGAAAAATATAAGTTAGACAAAGACGCATATGAGCAAAAGCTCAGTCCATAGTTGTTGGTATCCGACCACCGTTTCGCGTAAAGAAGACGAAATCTGTAATCGGGCGCACAAAAAACGAAGCGCAATTTTTTGGGGTTGGAGAGTACCGTGTATCAGGTTAGTTGTCATCGATGCAGTTGTTGTCGCAAGCTGGTCATGATCAACTTCAGTGTCCGTCCTGTGCCATGACTGAGCCGATGCAAGCCTAAGACGCCTTCATCCTCGGGATCCCACCGGATGGTATTACAAAGCTTCAGAGGGAGCGTTTATTGTGTATAATAGTAGTGATTGGGCTCACGAAGACCGTAAAATTACAATACTCGTGGGACAAACAGGGATACAAACGTGACATACGATCGCAAATAAGGGACAAGACGGTGCAATAAAGAAGGTTAGCAAGAAACGACTGCAGGTAGGAGCAGATACACTTTATTTAGCAACTAAAAGAAAAGAAGAAAGACGTCGATAAAGAAGACAGTATTCAAGCTAAGTAAATAATGCGTTATACGTTAATAGTTTACAGCCGGTGTTACCATGAAGAGCAAGCACGTGGTACTAGATCATCATAGTTAAAATAAGCCAAAATGATTGATCAAGTCCGAGTTGAGAGTGACTAATTCGATTGGTCTATATCTGTGATTCAAAGGAAATACTACGCATCCAGCATCAAGCTTATAAAGTGTTAAATCATTTCCATTAGATTGTGTGGATGAGTTTAAAGCAACCAACTTAGCTAATACCCGAACATCAAAGAATGCGTAAAATGTTGACGTGACATGATCCGTTTCGCGCATGCTCGTTTGTGGGCTCTCCCCTCGGTAATGCTGTAGACGACTTGCGATCTTCATTCTGAAACACGTTATCATTAAATCTAATTTTTGTTTGAATGCGATATTAAATGTAATTTTGGTTCATAAATTCAGCATGTCAAACTAACAGGTACCGCACCATAAGATTGCGCAGATGCAATAGATTTCTCTCGCTTAAGATCCGTTTTGTGTCATCTTCTTCATTGTGCCGAGCGATTCCGGGCAATTTAATCGCCAATTCTGCTTTTGGAGCAGTATGTTAGTGCAATCATTCAACGGTATCTCAGATTATCATAACTCATGTAACTTATAGGAATTGCATTTCACTATGCTCTTTCTATGATTGCTAAGCAATAACTCGTAGCTCACATCTATCGGAAAAGTATAGATTTTTGGTGGGACAAAAGTTCATATTATTGTACTCCTAAGCTGATGAAATCATATTACTATTTAAAAGTGCACAATTGATAGGGGGGGACAAAGTGCTCGAGTGTACTAAACTAGTGCATACAAGAAATCAGGGTGCTCTAAGCGGCGGCATCCATACGGATTAATATCTGAAGAACCATCCGCATTGGTCGTGAAGGCAATTGAGATTCGTACCTGAATTAAAGAAAGGTAGGAAATTGCTATTGAGCTGTAAACTTCCAAACCTTATTTCGATCTTAGAATGAATTCAATTCCGACTTCTTTTTGTTGAGACCCTCAATTCCTTTCTATGGAACTGTTTTCTATAAATCACGTTGTAAATAGGCCTAAATCACTTTCAGTATTGTACAACATCGGCCTAAATAAAGGTTTCTTGATCCCCACAAACCTTTTTGTTTATGTTAAAAACACCGAAGGGATCATAGCGAGCAATTGCAGCCCGGACTTTAGGAAATATTACATCCATGGCTTTCTTACCTGCTGGATGACTTTCGCCGAAAATCCTGATACTACGCAGCTTGTTTCGCCGCTGATAGCTTTTCCGCTATCCACTGGGAAGCCTGATGGTGTCCTCATGTAGGCTAAGACGGTCAAAAACACATTCAGCCTTAATTTCGAATTTTTTTACTGTTAAGGAAGCATTTCTTGAATGGCATTGAATCATCTAAGTTGACAGGTCGTATTAGCTTTGGATTCTGAGCACCTCCCGAAGTTTTTGGAAAAAGTTCGTCACGAGTCATAGATTCCAGATCAGTGCGCTTCTTGGCTATGAGATGGACATTGTTCTGAATTATCTGGATTATAGACTTGCTGGAAGCCCAATTTGCGACAACGCTGTGGCTCATTTTTACAATCTTGGCCTTGTGCTGGCAAATCTCGAGCCTTTGTGCATTGTTGATAGTACTTGGGGTGCGGTAATTTTTAAATCTATTTTGGGAAACCGTTGCTTTACCAATTTTTCCTTTTCACAAAAACGAAAATTGGAAATTCACGTAACTCGGCGAATTCATTGAATTTGTCTCCATCAAGTCTATGAGTTACCCGAGGAATGAATGTAGCATCTTTGTGCTGATCTTGCGCGTGTGGCAAAAGTTCTGCATCCTAACATAAGGCTGGTACGAAAGTTGCAACGAGCAATATCATTTCCAAGCGTGCACTGCTTTTTGCACTGCTTTTTCTGTGCTTTCGATGTTGACATGAATAATATCAAATCTACGTGAAAGAAAGCACACAAACAGACTGAAAAAGACTGCCAGCGTTGAGGCCCAGCTAACGACAGCAAGTGCCGCTTGGACGTTCACAACACTAACAATGCGGCAGTTCAACCCGCTTTACTGCTTCGGGTCAGGAACTCGTAGTAAGTACTTGCCATGAGAAGCAAAAAGAATTGACGTGATGCTCTATCCGAAAAAGTCACAATGGCCAGCTACAATTTGTCCAGCACTCATGTACTGACATTCCATCTCGTGATCAGTTTTACGTCTCAAGCACGAAGCATATGTACTGAGCGGTAGGAACTACATACGTAGCAAAGGTCACACACACACACACACTCAGGCTTTCTTTGCAATAACCTCAACATTCACCCATTGAAAATCCCCCTCTTTCACCAAAGTTCAGAACCGACATGTCCAAGTTCCAGAGGCAAGCTCCCTCTCGCCACGGCCCCGTCGTGCCACACCACATCTACACACACCCCGCACCCCACATCGAAAAAACACGCCGCTGATCACATGAGCTCCACACCCGTGAGCGGCATCGTCTCCGCTGCTACAGCCACTGCAGCCATGGCCGCCATGGCCTTATTGCAGAAGAAGCGTGCGTCACTGTACCGCGTATCGGCTACCAAACGCTCTGGACCGCGGCGATCGAGTGCCGCTCGTGCGGCTGCAAATGGCGCGGTCCTCATGCCGACCCCTAGCTACGGGTTACTGCAGGCTGAAGACGATCCAGCGGAAGGGTACGAACTGTTCCCAATTGACTTTTCTATGCACGTGCGGATTCGCCAGTCGATCGTGCACGCCTTTCTACAGACGCACCCAGAAGCGACGACCACTGCGTCAGTGCTGCTCCTCCATGGCGGCGTCGAGGTCGATCGTTACGATACCGATATTCAGTACAACTTCCATCAGGAGAGCTTCTTTCAGTACGTTTTTGGCGTGCGAGAGCCTGGCTGTGCAGGGCTGGTGGACTTCACGAGTCGACAGTCGGTCCTCTTTGTCCCTCGTTTGAGTGACGACTGGGAGCTCTGGTGTGGCGATCGTAAGCCGTTGGCATACTTTAAAGCCCACTACAAAGTGGATCAGGTGTATTACGTGGATGAAATGGCAGCTGTACTGGCTACTGAGATTCAGGCGAAGAAGCTCTATGTACTCCACGGTAGGAACACGGACAGTGGACTCGAGACAACGACGACCTCGATGTTTGATGGCATGGACGCGTTTGATGTGGACAGGGAGGCACTGCATCCTGTGTTGGTGGAATGCCGAGTGATCAAGACGGAGAAAGAGCTCGAGCTCTTGCGCTTTGTCAATAAACTGTCGTCTCGTGCTCATATTTATGTCATGAGGCACACTCGCCCCGGCAAGATGGAGTTCCACGCTGAGAGTGATTTCCTCCACTATGTGTACAGCAATGGCGGTGCACGCTTCCATGCCTACACGTGCATCTGTGGTAGTGGACACAACGCGTCCGCTCTTCACTATGGCCACGCCGGCGCACCGAATGACAAGCTGCTGGAGGACGGTGACTTGTTTCTCAACGATATGGGTGGCGAGCTGCATGGATATACTTCGGACATCACATGCACGTGGCCAGTCAATGGTGTCTTTTCTTCGGACCAGCGCATGGTCTATGAGGGTGTGTTGAAAGCACACGATGCCGTGGTGGCTGCCATCAAGCCAGGTATCAGCTATGTCGACATGCACTTGCTGTCGCACCGTGTGCTGACGCAACATTTGCTCGAGCACGGCTTATTTCAGAACGGAACGGTTGATGAGCTAATGGATCATGAAATCTCGGCGTACTTCTATCCTCACGGTCTTGGTCACATGATGGGTCTGGACACGCATGACGTTGGCGGTATCCCCATCGGCTACGTACGTTCAACAAAGAAGATTCTGGCCAAGCTGCGTTGTGTGCGCAATCTGGTGAAGAACATGGTGCTTACCGTCGAGCCTGGCTGCTACTTTATCGAGGCTCAGATTCAAGCAGTTCTGGCGAACGCCGTCACTGCCAAGTTTATTAACCAGGAAATGCTGTCTCGTTTCCGCGGCACTGGCGGTGTGCGGATTGAGTCGAATGTTGTTGTGACTGCAACAGGCGTCGAGTGTATGAGTGAAGTTCCTAGGAAGGTCGAAGAGATTGAGGCGACTATGCAGAAGGCGTAGGTCGGTCACTCTGCTACATGTCTGCTCTCAGAACATGGTCGCTCGTGCGTTTACATTTGCTGTGTTTTTCGTCTCAAACCTCGTGCGCTCGCCGCTATCTTCAGCCTTTTATAACTTGTAAGCGCTTTTGAAAGCTGGCGCCTAGAGGTTGCACATTTCGAGAAAACAGGCTATTGACAGCGGATCAAAGGTTCCTAGTTTGCTCGCATCTATCGTAAAATACGCCAACGTTTGGACATAACTTAAACTCCTATCTGCACAGCTTTGAAAGTATTACGCGAAGAACAACTGATAGCGAAGGTGTTACATATGAACTCGATGTGTGATTAATACTATAACACCAGTATCATGACGTCTTTGTAATGCACTTGAGACCGCTATTGTAACTTTGTCGGGTACAGACATTCGTCGCAAAGGAAGCCCCATTAGATTCGCGACACCCACATCTGAATCGTCAGGTTCTTTATAAACGACCAGGTGCTTCCTGATTACGATCTTAGCATTCCTAGACATGCCTAACGTACTGCATTTCTTCACAACTGTTGCCATTGAACACCAACAATTAACCAGTCGCTTTGTCGTTGCTGATAAAAGGCAACATTTGTTCTTCTCGTATCTTCAGCTTCAGTCTTTCTTTCATCTCGTTCCTTTTCCAAATTCTCCAACACGACAATATCTCGCAACCATATAATGCACATCATCCGAGTATACGAGATCCATCAGCAATCTACGCATTGCCTCCCTTTTGTTAACAATTGAGGTCCCTGCGCGGCCACTCGTGACCGTATGTGCATCGTACACAAGGCTAGATGTAGCCATGTTGCATCTATAATTTGCAGACAGTTTTTGGCCATCACAAACACGTTATGTGTGCATCACACACCACACACCTCTCTAACCTAATACCACTATTAAATATCAAGTGCGTGCCCAAACACAAACACCGGTCCAGACACGGGACCCGTGTGTGTCCGTCCTCTTTGCCTTGTGGTAGCGCTCAGTCACGGTCTCTGCTGTGTGAAAAGGTGTTCCCGTCTGTGCGTCAACAATAATCGGTCTCGCTGCCGCTTCGTCGCATCATGAAGCGAGCGGCCTCCGCCCCGACGCTAACGACCAACACATTTGTCCTTGTACGTGGGTCTCTCTAACTTTGTATCTCGCTTAATGTACTAACGGATGCTTAAATCTCATAATTTATATCAGTGTGAATTGGTGTCTCTAGAGTGGCATGTGTATGCACTTGCACCAATGGAAACCACTATGGATAACAAGAAGAAGGTCATGAAGAATACTGATAAAGCTGGTGCGATGCAAACTGACAGAGGTGCGGCTCTGACCGCCCTTTTCCAGCGTCTACAACTACGAGACGCTGTTTGTGTCCTTCTTGACACTCAATCAGGTAGTACGTCTTCTTCTTTGTTGTGTAGCAGCTCCACAGAGCTCTGGGTATTTACTGTCAATGGTGCGCGGAGTGAAGTCCCATCAGAACTACCTATGGGCATTTGTGAGTCACGGAAGGGATCCTGGACAGGAATTTCCAAACTGCTGGATGGAGCAATTGAGAAACTCCTCTTTGTAGCCCTCACGTCGGTTCTTGGCAGGAAACTCCTCGCTCAAGAGGAGTTCGTGCTCAGTGATGAGGGCTTATATGAACCAAATGATGCCAAGTTTATTTTCCGTTGTCCATCACTGACTCGACTGAATGACGTGGAAGTTTATCTGGAGGAAGATTGTCCAACACCGGCTTTCCAGTTGCACCTTCGGCTGTTTTATCCGAGCAATTTGTTGGCTGTTACAGTGGGTGTAGTGAGGAAGGAAGGTTTGGTGATACCGGATGGCGCGATTGGCGAGGAACTTGGCGACCCAAGGTGTTCCTGGGAACGACTTGTAGGTCTACCATCGTATAAGGATCACTCGGTCGTAGACGTTTGGCATCCAAAGGACGGTTTAGTACCGCGGATTGTCGCTGGCACAAAGTACACAGACGAGACACCTTGGTTTCGCCCAGTGTCAAAAAGGAGACATAAGCGTAGATTGGATGATGGCGACAGTGGCGGAGTTGAAGAGGAAGCAAAAGACGAAAACGAAGAAGATGCAGATGAAGACGACGATGAAAACAATCATGAAGTTGATGTCGACGCGGACGAGTTGTCCCACCGACCTGTAAGTGGTGAAGCATCAAAAGTGAAAAAGAAGCATAGCAGTGCTGATTCCGCAGAAAACGACGAGTTTTATGCACCGGTATCACCAGATACCCACATAAATACGCCTGATGCAACCGGTCCGATTATCCAAATGACGCTACCCCAAGACGACGAGCTACACTTGCAAGCAGATGCTGATGTAAGGCATTTCAAGCGGCGGCGTAAAGGCCATAATGCAGAAAGAACGAAAGACTCAGGATTTTCGCTGACATTTGGGCCAATTATAACTAATGGCGCCGGTCCCTCTTCGATGTCAAAGCCTTTGATGCACAGTAGAGATGGCGTAAAGAAGACTGCGCTGGATCCTGCCCAGCTATTCTCCGTGACTAGAACGTCTCTTTCAAAGTCTGTACCGACGCTGGCCAGACCGAAAAATGATGTCAAGCCTCTAAGTGTGGCTGTGTCACTTGTGGAATCGCTTTCTCATAGCGAACAACAGGAGGCGTTGGATGGCCGGCCTGTCAAGATGCATCCAATGCTACAGGCACTACAAGACTATGTTGATGAAGGAGGCACGACGAGTGTTGGGCAAATGTCGAGCTTAGTCACGGCGGCAAAAGTCAAGTTCCTGCCGAACGCAAAGGCATTCATTCCGTCCCCACTTCGAGCAACAGTGGGTCGCTTATCGATAAACTGTGCGACAGCCCGCCGGTTGCGTTTGGGCTTGTGCTCTGATCGCTTTAGCTCGTGGCGATCTGAGTACGCAAAACTACAGTATCCGAGAAATGGTCGTCAGCGAAAGTTAGAACATCAACGGCGACTTCTTTTTGAGTTCGACGAAGCCGCATTCGAAGACCGTGCGCGAAAAGAAGCAGCAAAGAGTTGGAGTCGTCATGAGGAGACGCAAATACGAGATGGCGAGATATTACTAGGCATCCAAATGGCAGCTTCGGATGCGATGGTGACTTGGAGGCAAGAGCCATATGGAAGCAAGGCATGGTCTGCGCACTTCAATCTTGATGTTTCTACGGCTAATGCGTTCGAAAAGGGCAATATGGTGAACCGCGTACAGCCTTATTTACGAAGTTTAATGTTGTTGTTGAAAAAGGAAAAAGGGGATGAATTCAAATCTCGGAAAACGAGGCGTGACCGGCGGTGGATGAGCTTCAAGGACTACGTCGAGGCCCAGACGATGTCTACTGCTGGCCGCAAATGTAGCGACTGTATCAGGGTGGCGGAAGAACCAAAATTATGTGTATCGAATCTGGAGTCAAGCTACCATGTCAAACCCGCTATGATTTCGGAATATTTATTACGTGATTTGCATCCTGTAACAGCGCCAAAATCAGTAGATTACGTGATTGTGTGCCCACAGTCTCCATCGCAGTGGCTTGCATCTCTCGCACTATCTTATTTCACCTGCTTCCGCAGCATGTATGCGCAGTGTCATATGGGCGACTTGGTCCCCGTCGATCTGGGTCAAGTGGAAGGAAATCATTATGCGCGCGTTGATGCTGCCAATGGACTGCTGCTCGTCGACTGCGCCGACAGTACGTCGGATCCTTTCGCTAACTTTCGTGCAGCTGGAAAGCTTTTGAATCCCATGCTATCGTCAGGTGCGATGAAAAAAGCACAGGCTTTTTCTCGATCAGCTGTTGCTAATGTGGTGTACCTGGTGGTTCCATTTCGCCGAACCGACGTGAAGCATAAAATGTGGATATTAGGAGCGTTTTCACATGGCTTATTTGACACGGAAACATTTGCCGATGTGAGCAGCTGGAAAGACAGTGTAACGATAGAGATGGTCTACTTGGATGACTTGTATGAAGTGGAGGTGAATCCGAGTCCATATGTGCTGATGCCAAACTGTTTTGGTCTCTATGACCGGGTGCATGAGACTTTGAATCTGAAGGTTGTTGACGGAGTTGGTCGTAGTGCCGGTCGATCCCGGTTTCTTTGTGAGCGCCTGTATCACCTAGCGGATTGGCGTGCAGGCATGATCGGGGAAAACGAGGAATGCCAATTGAGTTTGGCGTACGTGTATGGTGGGTACTTGCTCTCTAAGGACCGCAAATGGGTCGCGTGCAGCTTCACGGACGCTGTTGGTTCTATTCTAGAGACGTATACGATTCCTGTAGAAAATGCTGAGGACGGAAGTGGTCTCGAAAGCGCTTTTCTTGGGGTGATGCTGAAGATGCTGAACTTTCTTGCACTTTTCGGTGAGAAGAGTGTACTTGTACTGACGCGCCTGACGAGTGTGGCCGGCGCGTCACGCATCGGTGAGCAAGAGGAAGCTGCGTGGGAGACTCTACGGTCCAATCGTCTGGAGGAGCTGATACCGCCGGTATTTCAGCCTCTTTTGACGTCTGTTCTACTGCTGCAGCTTGACATAGCATCACAGGAGGAGGTGCAATTGCGTGAGGATCCATCATCAGCAGCCTTGTATGTTTCTGGCAACTTGGGATTTGCCGTCATGCCTCCTCCAGAGAGCACTGGCCCTTGCCACAGCAGTCGAGCTGTAATTTATACAGGTCATGATGCTTGGAAATCTACTTCCCTGCTTCACGCTCAGCATACGCTTACCCAGAAACGAGAAGCGAGAGTGTTGAGAGTGACGCCAGTGCTCGCATTGCTGGAAGAGGGTGTCGATTCTAAGGATGGTAAAATGACAGGATTGGTACCTGCGAGCACAATGATTACCATTTTGCGAGACTTCCATGCACAGTCGTACTTGACGATGCACCCGATTACCATGGAAAGGCAATCACCACTGCCTCATCATCTAGCCGCTATCTCGAAAACAGGCCGCGAATTACAAGTACTGGATACCCAGCTGATGACGGACCCGTTACAGTTACGGTGACTAGAATGAGAGGACATCTCAGCCAGCAACGAGCAAGCGACGTGACTCGTTGCGATTAATATAACGTCTGTGGATAGCGAGAGTGCAAGTCCGAAACGTGTGTCCGTTGTTTCCACTAACTGTGACTCTCTAATTGTAGTCCTGTGGTTTGAATCTGGATTTGCCCTCTCGAACACCAGTTGTGGCATTGCTGTAACCCATTCTAGTTGTGTTTCTACTTCCAGATATTCCTGGATGCAAATTTAACGAGCGATACATCAGCGAGAAGCAGCGTTGGAAGTTCTGAACATGGCTAGTGCACTACCAGCATAGCCAACAGTGTAAGTACATTTACTTTCGCTTGTGATATGATACGCTGGAGTCAAGATGCGTGCTGAGTCCAGTCTATTGTTTTGCAGAGCAAACAATCGGCATAATAAACACTGCTACTGAGTAAACTATAGCAACTACCGTCGAACCGGAAGGCATCGTCACTTAGTTCGACGATAAGCTTGCTAGAAGTTGGGTTCATTGGCCTGCTGAACCATGGGAGCGCATGCTAACTCGGTATCCCGCTTTGTGATCGATGGCATTTTTTCGTAAAAGGTAGAGTAAAAGGCTAGCGCCAAGCAAGCTACAAGAAGGGCAAGAAAGACGCTCACGATATGTCCGGACAAGCTCGCGGACGTGCAATGCACGAAACATTCTTGAGAATGTGGATTGAGGGCAGGGTCAAATTTGCAAGCCCTGCAGGCAAGTACGTGTACGACCTAACACCATATCACTTGCGAGTACTGACACGCTAATCCATGGCTTGTCGTCGAGTAGAGCACGAAAAACGATCTACTATGAGCATGTCGGGTCTACTTTTGCTGTGGGCAGGAAGAGCTTCACCGAGAGGAAAAACGACAATGGTGTGATGTGTGGTTTTTGACAACGAGTGCTGCCAGCGAGGAAGGTAAGATGTCAAATGTACTAGCCGGTTAGCTGAACGAATCCAATCTAGAGCTTGACCAGCTTGAATCAGTGGATGGATTACAATTTCCACTCAAGAGAACTGCACACCTTTTGTCGCAAAGCATTTGGTAACAACAGGTGGCAAGAAGGAGGCACTGGTCGATGCGCTACTGTTGTAGCTCGATCATGTTTGGTGCCATTGCAGCCTTAAACAACAACTCCACCACGTGACACCCCACGAAACTCGGCGTGGCAACGCGTACGCTGACGCTGCAACCCCTGGATTGAAGTCGTCCGCTGCAATGTGTGCAGTAACTGGGAATGGAGGTCGTTGAACAATGTCCGGATACCGATCGCCACGCGATGTGGAGCAGACAGAGCAGCGCTGTAGTGTTGGCAAAAAGGAGCGCGTAGATGGCCCTTCAGCAGATATATGGAAGAGATGACCACGAGCAAGGAGAGCAGACCAGTCACGATGCTCACTAGAAAGGCTTGGAAGGATTTATGGCGGTTACCAAGTAGCTCATGATGGCGCAAAACAATAGCGCGAGAGCGTTGGCAGCCGGATGATACACACATCTGCGGCTTCAAAGAGACGAGAGCTCAGGGCCTCGTGCGAGTATGCAGCAGAAGCGCCACAGGACCAAGTTGACATCTCATAGGCATGAAGCGCCATTGGCGCGCTTGTGACGAAGAACAAAACTACCAGGAAGGGGCCATAGCTTGGACGACGCCTAGGAGAGTCAGGATGCAGGCAGTTGTCATGTCTGGACTACAAGGGACCTGCAATTAATTCGATCAGATTAACGGCAATGGAAATCGAGCGAGTTGCAGCTCCATTATGCAGTATCAGTCATTGACATCGCTTGGAAAGGCTGTTGCTATCCTTAGCACGAACATTCACGATAAAAAGGAGGTCAGATGTCAACATCAGGAGTCCAAGTTAAGGGACATCGTCGGCACACGAGTCCGCTCAAGCACACAAATCGAGAAGCTTTTATTTTAGGGTACAACGACAGCAAGACTCGATAGTTTTGCAAGCTTCTTCTTGTAGTGGACCATGTACTGAGCCGCGATGTACTCAGACCACGATAGAGGCATCTTGAAATCCAGCACTGCAGAAGGAGATAGATGCTGAAGCACGTCTTCTTTCGACTTGATATCGAGATCAAACCAGTGGTCAAACTCTGCATCCTGCACAACCTTACCTTCTAGTTTTACTATTGACTCGTCAAATAGCGCCATCATGATAACAGCAGCAGCTTCCGGCACGCCAAGTTTACCGCTTATAGCCTTATACTTACCGGGCGGAGAATTCCCAGCCGGATTCAACGTGACGAGATGGAACCAGTTCTTGAACTGGTCGGTTGCGACCGCGGCTTTTATTTGTGCATGTAGCTCTACCTTCAGACGATAATTCTGCTCGCGATGTGCCACCAGCACTTTGAGGATTTCAAAGCGTTTAGGAGAAATAGAAAGACCGTGCAGCTCCCTAGCATTCTTCTGCCAGTAAAGGACATTCTCCTCCTTACTTACTAATCTCTTGATGATGCCACGCGTGTCACTACTTAGTGGGCCACTGTAGGCATCCGTGCTGACGGCATTTTTGACTAGGCTTTCAGTCAAGAGCGGGTCTGCTTTCGGCATTTCACCGAGACGGTCGAAGATGCTAGAGAACGGAAGCATCCGTGCTTCCTCGCTGTCCTTATCAGCGCCATCCACCGTCTGCAAAATCCGTGCACGGTAGGATGGGGCATCGGACGTGGCCGTTGTCGACGCCTTTCGGACTCTGGACCCCGCGGTAAACGAAACGACAACTCAAACCGCGACGGCCACGGCGAGCGTGTCGACAACGAGGGCGATTCGCATGAGAGTTACGCGATTCTGGAGGATCCCTTCGTCGCGGAGCTCAGAACGAAAAGTGAGCTGTCTGAGGGTCCAAGAAACGAGTGGAGGTGCTTCCCCCCTCCCGCGACAAGTTCAAGTACGCAATGATCTTCGGAAATTTCTGGACCAGATCCCGGTTTGATGTGTAAATCTCACTCTCAGCACCATCTTTGGTCAAAAGTCTCATTATCAGCACCAGTCCCAAAATCAGCACCAGCCAGTAACCAATTTCGTGTAGATCATGCTACTTAGTGCTTTCAAACATATGAACAATACGATGCTATAAGCGCCACGAGTTTAAGTGCCAAAAAACAGCAAGATTTATCAAGATGTCACGCGAAAGGGAGCGATTGATTAATAGACAAGTTATGGAGCCACTGAATTGGCTCATGGACAAATTTTCCAGTCCGGTGTTGCCGCAACCAGGTTTTTAAAAGACTACTGTTTTAACAAGAACCAGCAGTGCAGGGTTACAAAGAGTGGTGGCAACAGCAAGACGTATGTGTGCCCACAGGATCGATGCTTATGGGAGGTTTGTTCGACGAAGAGAAAGCGGATGGGTGCAGCTCCAAATGTAACGGGGCACCCTGAAGCTTGTACTGGTGACAGTACAAGCTACTTATTCTGATGACAGAATAAGGCGGTGCCTCGTAACTTCACGTACACTCGTACGTGCAGAGGAAGACGGTAAGAAGAAGCGAGTACTTGGTTAGAGTAAAAAGTAGAACTGTATTTAGTATAGTTAATGTCTGCAATAAATCACTATTTATCTTCATCTAACTATGTCTAAATACAAATGTGTAAATCAATTATCTGCTCACCACTCATTGCGTGCGTCTGTCGTGGCGCGTCTTCGTTGGTTGATATAATGGCCTATATCAACCAATTAGGATTTACTCGTAAGTGCTACAGAATATTTGTCCTTATGATAATATTCTGAGAATATAACTCTTATAGTTATATTCTATTAACAATTTCTTATAAATTGTTATGTAACGATTCACCCCGTTACATCACCCCCCCCCTTAACCATCAGTCACTTTAGTGACTGATTGACTAAATGGATACTCGTCCCAAATCATTTGGGACAGGGTTTGCACTTGTTGGTCCGAGTCCACTCTCCAACATCTCATCGCATGGTAAACAAGCCCATGCGATGCGCGAACAAGGCCGCCGAGAGCGCGTCCGCACGTCTCTGTGCGGACGCCGAAGCAGAAACCACAGCAACTGATGTCTCATCGGTTGCTGAAGCGACCCAGCCTGTGTCACTTGGTGATGCAGGCGCTGGTCATGAAGACACTCATGTCTTCACAGAGTATGAGCTCGGTGTCTCATACTCTCCTGATACGGAAGACGGATCCGTATCGACGGCGATCGAATCTAAGCCGCCTGCCAAACGTGGCATGGATGATGCTATGCGTCGTAGCATCTGTGGTTCATCTGATGAATCAGATGAACCATCGCCGAAGCGAAGGCGCTCGAGGTCGCGAGACTCGGGCGCTAACAGTGGTGTCGGTTCTCCTATTGACACCACTTCACAGCGAGGTGCCAGTACTTCTGTCGGCACGTCGCAGGAAGAGCGGGACCGCAAAGTGTTGCGTCTCGCTCCAGAAAAGAAGGCATGGATGCCTCCTAAATCCGTCATGGATCACTTGTCGGCGACGACGAGTGATCGTTATCGAACACGATTGTTCGATTCGTCAAGGATCCATCACCTTGACCCCAGCGCGAAAAACTATCACGCTGAGAATGAATTCTTCATCGATGCTTTCTTCAAACATCGATGGTACAGTGGGAATCACAAACGTGATGGTCCCTCACTACTTCAGGCGTGGAACGCCTACATCCATAACCTCGAGGATGTAGGTCGTGACGCTTGGAACGACAAACTTATCAAAGCTCGTGATAAGTTTGAAAAGCGAACCCCGACAGGTGCACTCTACAAGCTGCATCGTCTGTCAAGGGAGAAAGGATTACCCTGCCTCTCTTGGGGAGACTCGTGCCCATGTTGTGTGAACAACTCTGCACGAGCACCTAAGGAGGCTTACCTCCTTACCAGCCCGTGGTGGCACGTACGTATCTCTACTGAGATGTACGAAGGGATTGACAACCTGAAATCCCTTTACGACCGTGCCGGGAAGACTTTCTCCGGCGGTCCTTCTGCGGCACAGGATGTGCCGCGTCGTACTGCTCAACCAGACCCAGTACGTCGATCATCAGTTGGGAGCGGGGCTCCCAAGAATCCCAGGACGGGGGATAGCCGCGCCACCGGACGAGATAACTCGTCCGACGTCCGTTCACGTCGCGGTGGTTCAACAGCTGCTCAACTAGATAGCGCTGGCCACCGCGAGAGTCCTCTAATGGAGGTGGAGGAGGAGGAAAGACGCTCTCCACACGATCATGTGGATCGGTGTGTTCCCGAGAGCTTCTTTGATCGCGTAACGCAAGGGTTACGCGACGATCTCAACATGAGCGGAATAGGCGTCTCCAAATGGCGGACACTGCCTTGAAGCATCGAGCTGAGTTTGCCTTTGCTCAGCTCGAGAACGAGAGATCTCTGACATCTCTTCGTGACGAGCTAAGGGTAGCTCGTGGGATTGTTGATCGGTCTCGGGCTGAGATAACTGCTCTTCAGACCCTTGTTGATGCCCACCATCGGGAGCACAAGGCTCTCTGCGAGATGCTTGAGCGCAAGGGCGTTCTTCATCGGAAGAAGCAGCGTACTGATGGTACGGCTTAAGCCGACCAACGTAAAACGTGGGATGCGTTCGCATCTTACGTGGCAACTCGATCGTGTATGCATTGCCTAGGCGGTGCAATACACGAAAAGGGCCGATGTACTTGGGTAGTAGTTTACTGCTACCCAAGTTAGTCACTACATGCTTTGGTAGATTAACCGTAGACAGTAGGACTAAGTCACCTTTATTAAATAAAAGAGTGTTTGCCCTTCCATTCTTGTCAGCGTTTTGCTTTTGCTTATCCATCGCTTCGGCGATGGAGTCTTGCACAAAACGGACTACCGTTTCACGAGCCAGTATGAACTCATCTGATGACTCGTTAGCTTCAGTGTGCTGTGATCGCACTGCAGCAACATCAACCTTCTCTTCAGTGAGGGCTTCCGCACTCTCACTGGGATCATCTTCTTCAGTGAGGGCTTCCGCACTCTCACTGGCATCATATTCTTCGATATCGATGTTATCGATATCGGCATCAAACGCAATGACTTCTTCGTCAGAGCGTGATGAGCGTGAGCCAAATCGGTTTTTGCTCGCGCGAGTCCCTCCCCCCCTTAAACCAGAGTTACACTCTAGTAAGGTGGGTACACGCGGATGGCGCAAGCCATTCACGTAAAACGGTGTATGTGTCGTGGACGCATGCACCGAGTTGTTGATGGCAAACTCTACCATTGGCAAAAACTCACTCCAACTCTTAAAGGAGTGTACGTATCCTCGAAGTATCTCTTCAAGGACACGATTGGCACGTTCCGTCTGACCATCTGACTCTGGATGATCAGATGTTGACATCTTCAAGCGCGTTCCGAGTGATTTGAACACGGAACGCCAGAAATCAGCAGTGAATCGTGGATCTCTGTCTGATACGAGTTCACGGGGCAACCCATGAAGTCGGAAGATGGTGTCAATAAAGACACAAGCACAGCCACTTGCCGTGATTGTCTCTGGTACAGCCACAAGGTGTACCATTTTGCTGAATCTGTCAACAAATACGAGAATACCCGTATTCCCGCGTGCGTCTTTGGGTAACCCGAAGACAAAATCCATTGAGATGGATTCTCAGCACTCAGCCGGAACCGGTAGAGGCTGTAAAGGTGCACGCAGTGAAGGACTTGACTTCACTCGTTGACAGACTTCGCATGCGCGAACATACTTTCGCACAAACGGATACTGGCGGGGCCAGTAAAAGTCTCGACTTACCGTGAGATATGTTTTCTCGCGGCCACGATGTCCTCCTATAGGAGCATCGTGATACTCGAACATGATCCGCAAACGCAGATCAGTATCATCTGGAATGACAACACGTGGTGTGTCACCAGAAACGGCTGTATAGTACAGTAAAGCGTTACGAGTAGTGTATCGATCTGATTCAGATCGATACGCAGGCGACAATCGTTTCAACGATTCTCGGGGTGGTTGAGAGAGATGTGTCAACAACTTCACAATCTCACCATCTTGGGCGTATGCCCGCCTCACATCATCATACAACGTTGTAGATGGGACTGAGGACGTCATAACCGCAACAGTGACTGTCTCACTGTTGGGTTTCGCGACTGCTTTAAAGTCGGGACGACGTGAGAGTGCATCAGCGACGACATTAAGTCGTCCTGGTTTGTACTCGACCGTAAAGTTGTATTCCGCAAAGAATGACAACCACCGCGCCATTCGTTGTGAAAGGTGCGGGCTGTTCACTGCCGTGCGTAATGACGCATGGTCAGTGTAAACAACGAAGGGTCTATCTCCTAATAGATAGACTCTGAACTTCGCGAGTGCATACTTCATGGCAAGGAGTTCCTTGTCATGCACTGGATAGTTCCGCTCAGCTGGTTGCAGCTGACGCGACTGATAGCAGACGACGCGTTCAACGCCTTCAAGATCGTACTGCATTAATGCACAGCCGATTGCGAAATCGCTGGCATCACAGACCACATGAAATGGCCTGTCCTGATCGGCTATTGCTAGGACTGGGGATTGTATCAAGCTCTGCTTGATACCCTCAAAGGAGCGTTGACATTCAGCGTTCCATAACCACCTCTCGTTCTTTTTCAACAAACGAGAGAGGTGCACAGTCATCTCGGCGTAATTGCGTGAATACTTATGCAAATACGCCGCTAGCCCAAGGAATTTTCGAAGACCTTTGACATCGACCGGCACAGGCCAGTCGGTGATCGCCTTGATCTTTTCGGGATCAGGACGTACACCGTTCTTACCAACGATGCACCCAAGAAGTGGTATTTTGCTTGCTGCAAA